TATGAGATAATACGATTGCGCAAGTCCCAAGTTAGGTTTATAGAGCGTACCTCAATTTGGTCTAGCGATGAATGGAGGAGAATGACCATGTCCCCTTCTCCGGTTATGCTTTTGGTGGCCGCTGCCAATTTGGCGAGACCGTCCGCTTTGATGTTCTGTGCTCGAGGTATTTGATCGAGCTGGCATTCGTCGAACTCGTGTAATAGTTTGCAAATTTCGGCCTGATATTTCCATAACCGTTGCTCCTTAATTTGGAAAGTCCCCGTGACCTGATTAACAACGAGTTGCGAGTCGCATTGAAGGATGACTCGTCGTGCTCCGTATTTGAGTGCTAATTTTAACCCTGCAATCACGGCCTCATACTCGGCCTCATTGTTAGTCATATCAGGGCATCGTGTGGATTGGCGAACGACTTCGCCTGTTGGGACCTCGAGCAAGAGTCCTAGTCCAGATCCTGATGCGTTAGAAACGCCATCGGTGTACAAGACCCATTAGTCGTGTACTTCGGTAGAACTAATGGCGGTTTCCCTTTTGACTTCGGACATTATCTTTGCACTGAAGTCGGCAAGAACTTGCGACTTTATCGTTGTTCGCGGCTGATAGGTTATATCGTGCTCGCTCAACTCTATGACCCACTTAGTCAATCTACCCGACAATTCGGGTTTGTGCAAGATACTCCTTAAAGGAAAAGTCATGACCATCGAGATAGGGTGGCACTGGAAATAAGGTCTAAGCTTCCGTGAAGCTACGACCAGGGCTAGAGCTAGCTTCTCGAGGTGGGGGTACCTCGTTTCAGCGTCAACCAAAGTTTTGCTGATGTAATAGATTGGAGATTGCGTACCTTTATTTTCTCGTACCAGGACTGCACTTACCGCGACAACGGACATGGCCAAGTAGACAATAAGGCATTCTCCGAGTTCTGCCTTGGCGAGCAACGGTGGCGAAGACAGGTAGGCCTTCAGTTCTTTTAAGGCGGTGACGCATTCGACATTACATTGGAGTCCGTTATCCTTTTTGAGTACACCAAAAAAATTGTGGCACCTATCGGATGACCGCGAGATGAACCTTGACAAGGCGGCTATTCGGCAGGTCAGCTTTTGCACTTGTTTTTTGCTGGTTAGATTTTCTGGGATTCCTTCTATGGCCTTGATTTGGTCGGGATTGACCTCGATGCCTCGTTTTGATACCATGAAGCCAAGGAATTTTCAGATGTTACGCCGAAAGCACACTTCTCGGGGTTTAACTTCATGCGGTACCTTCTGAGTACGTCAAAGGCCTCCCTCAAGTGGTCGATATGGTCTTCCTTTCTTTTTGACTCGACCAACATGTCGTCAATATAAACTTCCATGGTCTTGCCGAGTTGATATTTGAACATTTTGGTCACTAGCCTCTGGTACATTGCCCCGCATTTTTTAACCCGAACGGCATCACTCTGTAGCAGACGTCCCCTGATGGGTGATGAAGGTGGTTTTTTCCTGGTCTTCTTCCTCCATGAGGATTTGGTTGTAGCCCGAGTAGGCGTCCAAGAAACGTAGCAGTTCTTGCCTGGCTACCCGTCCAAGGGTCAACTTCTTACAATAGTTTTCTCTGATTCAATCTCATGTGCCCCCCTTTTTCTTCTCTCTCCTTTTCTATTTATATGTGATATTCTCCAAAAATCCTAAAAAGTACAACAAGGGGAATATCCAGGAGAATATTCCTGTCACTAGTTCCAAGACTACTTAGCCGTTTCCTACTCTCACTACTAGAAATTTGGCAAAAACCGACCAACTTTGGTCGGTAAAAAAACCGGCCAAAAACCGACCAAAGTTGGTCGGTTTTTCAAAATATTTTAATTTTTAATTTTTTTTTACGAAACCGACCAACTTTGGTCGGTTTTCTTTGGCGCAAAAATACGGAAAACTATTTTTGAGTCCTGCGAAATATATTTTTCAAGAAACCGACCAACTTTGGTCTGTTTTTTCAATTAAAATAAATAAAAATTAATATTAAAAAAAAACGACCAACTTTGGTCAGTAATTTTATTTTTAATAAAACCGACCAACTTTGGTCGGTTATTTTCGTGCAAAAATACAATTAAAGAGTATAAATAAATAAAAAGACAATCTTAAAATAAAATGCACCAATGGTCTAGTGGTAGAATAGTATCCTGCCACAGTACACACCCCGGTTTGATTCCCAGACGGTGAATCTTTTGATTACATAATTAAAATACCGACCAACTTTGGTCGGTTTTATTTTTTTTGCAATATTTTTTTTTTGAATTTAATTTACCGACCAACGTTGGTCGGTAATTTCCGACCAACTTTGGTCGGTAACTCGGTATACTAAAGCGACCACCAAAATACTGTCCAAGCGTATTTGGTCGCATTTTGGTCGGTAATTGGCCAAGACCGACCAAAGTTGGTCGGTTTTTTTGGTCGCTAATTACCGGATTTCTAGTAGTGTCTTCGTTACTCGACCTCTACGGCTCGCTCAGCGACTGCTCGTATTGTTGGGCTTTGGTCGACCTCGGCCTATCCGCCCAAATCGGAACATAGTCTTTTCACCTTACGATCTTCCGACGCCCAACTTTCTCAGCAAGATTTTGACCCATACACTTATCAAATAAGTGCGGAGAAAATTGACAACAGCGTAACAAAAATTTGGACCAAAATTTGGAAATTATATCATGGAAGAGAAAAGAAAATGATGCGGTACCAAGTGGATGTCCATGCAAATTTCAATGCCCAAGTGAATAGGTTATCGTGATCGGTCATAACGCATCATCAAAAATTATATTACAATATCCTCTGCATAAAAACTTGTCCGCTTCAATCAAGCTTTCTTTCTTATAACAAATGAACAATATTTCCTTGAGTAATTCCTAAATGAAACATGAAAAAGAAAAAACATGAAATTGATATCTTAACGGTGAAGACAGCAATGTGAAAAAGGTCAAGGGAAAGCAATGTGAAAAGGAAAAACTATTAAAAAACGAAAACGGTGAAGGCAGCAAACAGAAGCAGAAAGACATTTTCCTAGGAAGGCCCAAAGCTCAATGTTCGAAACCAACCTTGAGATTTTACCTAATTATGTAAAATACTAAACTTAATTATTATTAGGAAAATTTTTAATTACCCAATATAGTACTCCCTGCGTATGAGAATATATACAATATACATATAAAGTCATAGGCGTATTCAGGATTTTAAGAGCATGAGTGTGTATGGGCGAAAAATATCATTTATATGTTGACTTGTCACCATAAAGGAAACCTTTGGAGGATGCCACGTGTCGTCGATAGGATACAATGACTCGACCTCAAAGGATCGACGTCACGAGAAGATAACAGATTGTTGACAAGATCAAAGTGACTCGATAGAAGATGAGGACGAGGACAAGCACTCCTTTTCGGAAAGCAGTAACGACTAGTTCTAGGATTACTATTCCTTAGAAAATATTCCAGTAAATATTCCTTTTAGTTGTACTATCTAGGGTTTTGTGGCCCATGAACCCTTATAAAGAGAAAGATATGTAGTTATAGATGGGATTGGACACTTTTTGTAAAGAACAACACATTGACATTCTCTGGAGATTCTCTCTTTATCATATACATACAGATTTCACCTTTTTACATATTTATCTATCTTTTTTTCCCGATCCAAGAAGGATTGAAAAATTCAAATGCTTCTCATTATCCATCATTGTCAGAGGAATTATTGGGGAATCTTACCTTTGTCGAGTGACTTCTACTCATTTATTTACTTGAATATCATTTATTGTTATTTATTGCCATCTTTCATATTCTTGAGTCACTCATTACACCATTATTGTTATTTTTTTTTTTCATAAATACACTTGGTCTATCATTTAGATATTAATATTGGCTAAGATTAACCCTTTCACATTATAAATCTAATTGTAGAAACCTAGATCTAAATTTTGGGTCATACACTCTCTACTTTTTAAAAATCCAAAAATTCAATTAAATCGAATAAATATTATGTTATTTTTATATGTGAAAAAAAAATGGAAAACTTACACAAATGTCCCAAAGAAGTTTCAACTTAAATCTCTAGCCATTAGTCATAGACTTACCAAAACTAGCCAAGCACATATAAAAATTGAAAAATCAAATAAATAAGGTTCTTTCTCTCAAAGAATCACATGCAAAAATCTCCTTCCATATTTTTAAGCATGATTAGCAACATTAGATGCAAGACGGAAATGAAATTTCATGGATGAGGTAGCAAATAAGGTGATGAAATACAAAAAAAAAATATATAGAATATTCCAAAAATCTAAGCAAAAAAGAAACATTTTCAATGGGTATAGTTAAAATTCATTGAAAATAGATAGGTAAGTCAAACAAAATTTGAGGAAGATTGGAGATGATTTGGACTGGTTTTGTATCAAAATTCGTAGTTAAATCGAGTTCAAATAATTCTTCTGCGAACATGTATCAAACATGTATCTCAGCCACATGTATACATGTGATACACAAACTGATACAAATATGATACATATGTGATACACATATCATTTTTTTTATCTTCAGTTTTTACTTCAAATTTTCAATTCAAACCACCTCAAAACTTCACCAAATCATCCCAAAACTGAGATTCAAGCTCCTTCAGATGTATCCAATCTATTCTAATAACACCCACTCAAAAGAAAGCAAAAATTAGACCATTTTTTTGCTACAAATAGCTAATTGACTAATATTAATAATATTTTATGAATTGATCAATTTTTATAATAAGCTACTTATAAATGGATATAGCCGGTAGTTTTCCAAAAAAAATCCCAACCTTGAATCTAACATCGGATCCTCGAAGGCCCATAATAAGAGCCCTAGAAACGATGAACCAAAATGCCAAATCGTCAATAAAATAACGGCTCTTTTGTCTAATGTCGGTCGTGGCTCCTCGCTGGGCCCCACTAAAATGGCCACGTCGTCCATTTTCATTATTTTGATTATTTTTTTCACCCATTCTCATTATTTTGTTATACTCATCATATTTTTCTTTACAGCCCAGACGACCGTTACACATACAACTCTGTCCGTCTCTTCTTCACTACCATCCCACCATTTACACTCTTCTCACAACTTGCTTTGCTCTCTTTTTGAGGAAGAAAATGACAGCAGCAAGCGTTGCCACCAAGCACTGCAAGAAGGCCGTGAAGATGGGTCTATCTCTCTTCTGCAGAACCTTCAATTCCTCTAAATGGTGAATTTCCCTATGCCCCCCTAAACTTTATTTCTTGGAAAAAAGAAATCAAATTTACTGTAACTTTGTTATTGTTCTTTTGTGTGTGTGTGTGTGTGTGTGTGTATGCAGCAAGACAATGGCGAAGATGGCGGTGGCGAGGATAAAATTGTTGAGGAACAAGAGGGAGGTGGTTGTACGGCAAATGAGGAGAGACATTGCTATGCTTCTTGAGTCCCGTCAGGATGCCACTGCTCGTATTCGGGTAATCTTTCCTTTTTCTGAATCTTTTCTTTCTTTATGTTCTTATATAATCTCTGAATTCTGAAATGGGGTTGAGGCGTAGCTGATTGATTGATCCAATGATGTGTATGTAACCTGGAAATTAGCTTTATTTGGCAATTTCTTTGAGTAATTGAATGGGGGATTTGCTATATCATGTCTCGTGGTAAGCTGTATTGTTACTGCTTAGAATTAGTAATGAAACCCTTGTGGATCATTTAGCTTAAGACATAAATTTTGCTTTTTAAAAATATTATAGGGTTTCTACAGAGATATTTCTTTATAGCAGATGACTTCTTTTTAATGACCTTTTTGTTGGTGCGTCTCACCAAAACTTGGAGAAAGTGATTGAGATAATCTTGTTGAATTAGCTTGACTGTGTTTATGCTCTTTCTCATTCTGTAACACTTGTGTTTACTTTAAAACTATAGGATTTTGCTACAATTTATTATTTTTTACCATGGGATTGAACTACTGAAGTTTCCCCTCCTCCTCCCATCTTTTTTACATCTCTTGCTATACATGACATGTAGGTATTACTAATATTTCAGACCAAGGTACCTCTGCTATAAGAACTTTCTGTTTTTGTAGACTAATCAATGCGATAGTAAAGAGCTCTTTTATTTAATGCAAAGCCTTTCCAAATTCCAATTTTAATTTTGCTCTGTTGGATGATCTTGTTATCACCGGGTTGTTGTTGTTGTTGTCTGTTGGATGATCTTGAAGTTGCTTAAACAGACCCATCATATAATGTAATATGGGGATACCTCTACTTTTATTTTGATATCCAACATCTGATTTTAGTATGAAATCTTCTTTGTTCAAGTTAAACTAGAATATTCTTATTTCCTTTGTTTATGATCCTTTTAAAGAAGTTGTCCATATATTGACTCTTTGTGCTAATCATTTGGAAAGAACATTCACATTCTTCACCTTTGTAGGTTGAACACGTGATAAGAGAACAAAACATATTACAAGCAAATGAGTTCCTCGAGCTCTTCTGTGAACTTATTGTGGCTAGACTTCCTATTATTGCAAAGCAAAAGTAAGGTGTCTCAAGCTGTATAATTACTTTTTAACAAAATTTTTAGTTAAGAGTACAGGACAAAGCTCACAGATACCCTTGCTTTCTGTTGATCTGCTTGTTGCAGGGAATGTCCAGCTGATCTGAAAGAGGGGATATCAAGTTTGATTTTTGCAGCCCCCCGGTGCTCAGATATTCCAGAATTGATGAGAATTAAAGATGTTTTTGAGAAGAAATATGGGAAAGATTTTGTTTCAGCAGCCACTGATCTGCGACCCAATGCTGGTGTAAACCGAGCGGTAATCATATTTCTTCTCTTAAAAACTCATCGCTTTCTTTATCATTAATAAATATATCTATTACTTGTGTACTTGGAGGGCCTAAAAGAAGTGGGAAATTGTTGTTACAGCTCATTGAGAAACTCTCTGTGAAAACTCCAAGCGGTGAAGTGAAACTAAAAATCATGAAGGAAATAGCAAAGGAATACCAGGTTGATTGGGACACTGCAGAATCAGAGGTGGAGCTTCTCAAGCCACCAGAAGAGCGTATAGTATGTCTCTCACGCTCAAAATCCATATACATCGGTCTATGGTGCCAAACGTGTTTGATGACCATCCAACTGATTTCTATTCTCTTTGATCCAGGACGGACCCAACGGCTTTGTAAGTGCCACTAGCTTGCCCCTGAAGCCAACCCCAATGCAACCTGCTGAGCCTAATAACCTTCCAAGGAATTCAAAGCAACCTGCTGAGACTAATTACCTTCCGAGGTATTCATTCAACTGATTGAAATTTGGATTTGTTATTCCCTTTTTCTGCAAAAAAAAAAAGATTCTGCTTTTGTTCCTTTAAACAAAATCTTTGACTTGGCTGATGTCAGAATCCATCTCCTGAAACTACTACAGGGCTTCAGATGATGGAGAATCGAAAGTCACCATATTTGACGACCCAGCATCAGCGGCTAAAGCAGCTGCTGAATCTGCCAAGCAAGCCATTGCGGCTGCTGAAGCAGCTGCATATTTGGCCAGTAAAGATGCAAAAGCATCTACTGGTCGTCATCACTCTATGAATAATGCAACTGTTGACAATATTCCTTTTGTTTCTGGTGCTCCTGTCCCCAAGTTTTCTCGAAATGATGTTGCACCAACATCTCAGTCTATAGTTGATCTGTATGATGATCATTGGAGTAAGAACATGAGGAATCCTGAACATACTCATGGTTCTTCTGGCGAAGAGGTGCCAATAGATATGAAAAGATCACAGAAATTCTATAGGAGACATAGCTATAATGTTCCATCCTCAAATTCCGATGTGAAATATGATGATGATTCAGATTGTGATGAGGAAATTGAGATGGAAGATCCACCGATTGGCAATACATATCAACACAGCCCACCTACTGATGCTAATGGTGGAAAGTTCTATAGAAGGCACAGCTATAATGTTCCATCCTCACGTTCAGGTATCAAGTTTGATGAATCAGATGGGGATGAAGAGATAGAAACTGAAGAAGCCACAACAGGTTCCAACCGAGCCCCCAACCGGCCTGCACCACAAGTACCTCGGGTTCATCCCAAATTGCCTGACTACGACACACTTGCTGCTCGCTTCGAGTCTCTCAATTCTCGGAACTCTCGGAGATAGATTATCAGGACTCATGGGATCAGATACATTTTGTGCCAGTCGATATATAGGGTAATACAGTACAGAAACCAAGTTATATGTTAAATGGTTCATTATATAGTATGTAGCAATCATTGCATGGAGTAAAACTAGTTCCTTTGTGTCAATGTTATACAAATTTTGATGTAATAAATCTTGGAATATCCATTTCGCAAGTTAAACTAGAAGTACCAACTACCCTTGGTATATTTTTGATTAGTAACATCGTTTATTGCATTAGCATCTCGTGTTTAAATTTTATGTTACAGATGAAATCTATAATACATATAATATGATAGTCATTCTAAATTTTTATAGAACAAGATATCTTATTTCTCTTAATTAAAATCTTCGATCGATTGAGAAACATAACTATCAAATCAACGTTCCTTGTCTTGCTAAGAGAACGGATCATCAGATTTTTGCAAATTCTTTTGTCACATTTGTAATTGTTAGGAAGCATTACCTTTCAAAACAAAGAGAACAAACAACAAGCAAGAACGACGGATTGTTAAGATGATCTTCATTAAAATATGAACAAATTTTCCTATTGTGTATATACCTAGCAGTTTGATTCTTTTTTTGGATATTTTCTATTAAAGGGACAAATGACAAGTAATGGATAGGAAAATTAGCACAAATATGTCGAACCAAAGTTAATAAAGAAGGAGAAATAAAAAGACGGAAAAGGGCCAGAAATGTGCTTGAATTATTTGAAATAGCTCAAAAATAACCTCCGTTTGTTTTTGGTACCAAAACTATCCCTGTCGTCTATGTTATGGACCACAAATGCCCCTTAAAACGTTAGCCTTGCCATTAAAGCTGACATGGCAGTCCAACTGGCTTAGATTTGCTTACATGGCCATCCACCTAAGCAATCCAGCATGACGAAAAGTTTATTCTTTGTTCTTGAATCCTTATCACAAAAAAGAAATCAGAAAATTAAAAAATACCAAAATAGTTCTTGATTGGGGTTTATGATTTGATTAAAAAAACTTCATTGTTCTCTTATGTGAATTTATGATTAGTTTGATCTACATTTTTAGATGCTTATCTATTATAGCTTCACAACATCAACCTAACAATCCCTAGTAATATTTAGATCAAACCAATCATAAATTTACAAAATGCTTTTTCAGATTATCAAGCTTTTAAGAACTCTTCCACGATTTTTTTTTTTTTGGGTTTTAGCTCAGATGTTCAAACCAAGAAATCAATTGTTAAGGTTCAATTTTCAGCTTCAATTGCAATATCAAAGTAATTTACATTAAAATTTGACAACAATTATTTTAAGTAACCTAACAACAGCTAAAAGAAATTTCACCAAAAAGGTTTCAAATTAGCAACTATTTTCAAATTTTGACTCACAAAGAATGGTTACACAAGTTTTCCAACAACAATCAACCATTTGAATTAAATTTGAGCCTCAGATCTGTTGAGCCTAAAACTCAATCAATGAGCTCGATCCTTCGACACACAGGTACAACTTCAAACAAACTCTAGCACACTTCAAAATTGGAGTTTCAAAGTTCGAGAGCAACTCAAACAAGAATAATGGAAGAACTATTTTTGGTGTTTTTAAATTTTCTGATTTCTTTTTTTGTGATTAGGATTCAAAAACAAAGAATAACTTTTTGCCATGCCGGATTGCGTAGGTGGATGACCATGTAAGCAAATTTAACCCAGTTGGACTGTCATGTCAGCTTCAACGGCAAGGCTAATGTTTTAAGGGGCATTTGTGGTCCAAAACATATACCGCAGGGATAGTTTTGGTACCAAAAATAAACGGAGTGTATTTTTGAGCTATTTCAAATAGTTCAAGGACATTTTTGCCCCTTTTCAGATAAAAATAAAGAGAACTATTAAGAGCCCATTTGGCCATGAAAAAAACTTTCACTTTTTTTCGATTTGCTTTTTTTTTTTTTTTTTTTAACTTTTTTCGTAAATCTAATATTTACCTATAAATTTAAATTTTACTACTTAAAACTTAAAATTTAGTAAATTTTTACGTAAAATTTAGTAAAAACTTA